GAAATAAAGCAAACAAAAAAATTATGTGTTGGGATGGGGGACTGTGAGCTCARAGTGAACAGGGAAGGAAATAGAAAAGCACATTTCTACTCTCATACCAAGATAAATTCTGACTAGTCCCATTCCTCAGTAGTACCCACAGGCCATGGTGGCCATCTGCCACCAGATTAGAGACTGCAGGCCACAACACTCCCCTCATCCCTGAGCTCTAAATCACCATCTGTTTCCCTAGGGAAAAACCGATTGGCAAAAAAAAAAAAAAAGGGGGGGGGGGATAAGGAGGTACAGATTCCAGAACAGCCAGAATTTAGACAAAATAGATCAGAGTCGTCGCAAATTTCATCTAGACTAAGATGCTGCTCTCAAGTTGTTTACAATCTCAAGTAAGAGATGTCAGACTTCAGTAAAGCGCAGTATTTCATTCATATGCAGACATCCCTTCTGGTTTACCAGCTTTAAAAAAAGAAGTAATGCATGCACTTAAGAAGGGGCCCTCACAACTGGAGGATAAATGCAGGACTGAAAGCTGCAGATACAAAACCCAGGAAAATGTTCTATGTCTCAAAAAAGGGCAGTGATGTCAAACTGCAAAGGACAGATGGCCAAAAAACTTTGGTTCCGGCTTGGGCTCTACCTCGAATTATCTTTGAGCCTTTGAACAAGTCAAACCCTGTCCCTGGATCTGAGTTTCCAAACCTGTGAAATGGGCAAGTAGGGTTGGCGGACCTCCTTCCGGCTTTGCGCCTCACAGAAGCCCGGAGGGTATGCTCTGCCAGAGGAGGGCACGGCCCTGCAGGGCGGGGCGCGCAGTGAGCAGGAACCCGGACTCACATCAAGGCCCTGGGACAGGGCCCGACCCTAGAAAAATGGACAAGGATGAGAAGCAAGGGCCGYGACTTCTCCTTACCTGCAGCCTGCCGACTCCTCAATCAGCCAAATTGAACACCGCAGCCTCTGCGGCCGCTCACCACCACCCCCTCCAGCTCGGAGCCCGGGCCAGGCCCGGTTCAATCCGACCCACCATTGCCCGTCACCCACAGCGCCAGTAAGCGGACCCAGACCCGCCGCCAGCCCATTCTCAACCATGAGCGCAAGCGCGTGCCCTGAAACCTCCAAGTTCCACCTCCGATTTTTTTCCCGGAGCAACCTGGGAAATGGAGTTTACCCCGGAGACATAGCCCCCGCTGATCACGTGTCAAAGTGCACCAATTGGCGCATATCTTACTGCGGAACTGCGCCGGTGTGTGACCAATGAGAAATCGGCTCCGTTTACATCCGGGCTTTACAACAGTGGCAGTCATGGCGCCACCCGTGAGATATTGCATCCCTGGTAAGTGAGGGCTGCCCGTACAGAGCCATGGATAGTGACAAAGTCAGGAATCCTGAACTGCTTCCTGCTTCTGGGAGCCCAAGGCTGATGCAGYGTTTTTTCTGCAGGCGAACGTCTGTGCAATTTGGAGGAGGGCAGCCCTGGCAGCGGCACCTATACCCGGCACGGCTACATCTTTTCGTCGCTTGCGGGCTGCCTGACGAAGAGCAGCGAGAACGGCGCGGTAAAGGAGGCGGCTTCCCTTTTCCGGCCTCTCTTAGGCTGCCTTTGAATTCTGATTTTTAGACACCGGCGCCGCGGACGCGTCTTTGGTGTCTCACCAGTAAAACGATTCAGCCTCTCGGGGTTTCCCGTCTGTGATCGCCACTGCTGTGCCCTTAAACTACCAGTTTGGTTTATCTCGCCTGGGACGAGGCTGGAGCGAGGGCAGATGCAAACAGAGTAGCCCAGCCCAGCAGTGAGCTGAATCCCATCAGAATGTCACCTACCTTTTCTCCTTCTACCTCCACTATTTCCTCCTCACTCACTGCAATCTAGTCTTACTGGCTTATTTCATTATCGCTAACACGCTAAGCGCCTTACTGCCACAGAAATTTTGTATACCTGCCATTTTTCTGGAACACACTCCTCTTCTCCTTAGCTTGTGTATTTCTTACATCTTTCAAAAGCCTCTCTAGTGTCATTTTCTCAAAAAAAATCCACTAGACTCACTGGTTGAGGAAAAGGGTTTGTAGGGGCTTGTTTTGTTAAAAATTTACAACAAACTATTCCTTCCCCTGAGCATTTCAGCACTCAGGTTTTCTTGTGTGTGTGTGTGTGTGTGTGTGTGTGTTTGTTTTTTGGGTTTTTTTTTTTTTTTTGGCACCAGGAATTGAACCCAGGGACAGTTAACCCCTGAGCCACATTCCCAGCCCTTTTTTATTTTTTATTTTGAGACAGGGTCTCACTAAGTCACTCAGRCTAACTTTGAACTTGAGGTCTTCCTGCCTCAGTCTCCCAAGTCACTGGGATTACAGGTGTGAACCACTGAGCCCAGCTACCATTACCCCCTTATGAGAGAAAACATATGGCCCTTCTTCTAACTTTGGCTTATTTCTGTTAGCATAATGTACTCAAGTTTCATCCATATTCCTTCAAACGACATGATTTTATTCTTCTCTATGGCTGAATAAACTTCATTATGTATATATGCCATAATTTGGCTATTGTGAATTGTGCTGCTAAAAAAACAACGGTTAGATGCTGGAAGTAGACTCTATGCGTGTTGTCAGGCCTGAGGGCCTCTTTCATTTTTGTCAAGGAGAGGGCTAACCTCTCCTTTCATACAACATGTGTCAGTCATAGTGCTAACCTCTGAAGATGTAGTAATAAGCCAAATACACTTAGTTTTTTTCTGTGGAGGGCCCAGTCTCAATTCAAATAAATGTTCAAATGAGTGTCTCATTAACAATTGTGATAATTGCTTTGAAAGAATATTGTACAGCACCATGAGAACATGTAACCAGAGAACCTACTCTTGGTCAGTGAATGGGACATTTAAGTTGAATCACCTAAAGGATTAGAGGATTAAATTAGAGTTGAGTGGGTGAAGAAAATGCAGTTCTAGCTGAAAGAACACGTTAAACAGAGATTCTACTGAAGTGAGAAGCAGTTTGTAAGTTGGGAAAATTAAAAGAGGTTTAGAGAGTCTTAGTATAGTGGTCAGGGGAGAGATTGATAAAAGATGAAGCTGAAAATATGTTTTACACCAATAGCCAATATCATGCTTAAAGAGAAAACTCTAGACATAATCATATAAAATATAAGAAAACAGTATGACCATTATATAACATTTATTTGGAAATTCTGTGCTATGCAATTAATAATTAAAAGAAACTGAGGCATTATTATAACACTTGTTATAATAATGAGTCAAATTATGTATGATTACAGGCAATAGGGTTGTATACCAGGAAATTCCAAGAGAATTTTATAAAATTTATTAGAACTCATCTGGAATGTTTATAAATTCCAACGTATTTTTCTGTTATAAACCACAAATACCTTTATTGTTCTCTCTGTAGCTTCCTGTGGTGTCTGTGATGAGAGAAACAGAGTCCCAATTACTTCCAGATGTGGGAACTATTGTAACCTGTAAGGTAAGTTGGTCCTAACCTACTGCTTAGGATACCCATCCAATACTGAACTCAGGATAATTCTAGAACTGCATTTTCAGTATGGTAACCACTAGCCACTTGTGGCTATTGAAATTAACAAGTGTTAAAAATTCACTTTGTCAAGCCGAGCATGATGAGACACACCCATAATCCCAGTGGCTTGGGAGGCTGAGACAGGAGAATCGAAAGTTCAAAGGCAGCCTCTATAAAAGCGAGGCACTTAGCAACTGAGACCCTGACTTTGAATAAAATACAAAAATAGGACTGGGGATGTGGCTCAGTGACCGAGTGCTTCTGAGTTTAATCCCCCGTACCTCTCTCCCCCAAAAAATTCACTTTCTCAATCTCACTGCCTTATGGGTCAGCACATGACATTTTTATCATCACAGAAAGTTTGACTAGACTATACTACTGGACTAGAAATTCTAGGATATTGATCAAGGCAGCCAAATTCAGGCATCCATAGTTCCTTCACTGAGCTGGTTTATGAGCATGTAGTTTCTATCTCTGTCTGAGAAGTGAGGCATACCAACAGGTGATAATGAGATCTGTTTTTAAAATGTGAAACCAAGACTTTGCACAGAAGCAAAAGACTCTTCTCTAGCATTCCTGTTTAAAGACCTTTATGGATTTTCTTTAGTTGTTGATGGACCTTCATTTTTACTTTTTTATATGTGGTGCTAAGGATCAAACSCAGGGCCACAAACATGCTAGGCAAGCACTCTACCACTGAGCCACAACCCCAGCCTTGACTTTTAGGGTTTTTGAGAGAAGGTACTGATTAATGTACTAATCTGTAACTGTAACACATAAGTTACCTCTACCCATCCCCATCCTCTGCCAAGTTCACTTGTAGCTTTTGGTTTCTCTATAAATTATTCCAGAAGAAAGTATATGTGTTACTCTGAAAATAATTGCAGAAGCAATTATTAGGCAGCAGATAAAACATAGATTTAAATTCTATTCACTATATTAGCCTCTTATAAGATCTGTTAAAGGTCTAGATTTGCTTCTATGCACTGTTTTAAATTAGACTTGTGGAGGGGCTGGGGATGTGACTCAAGCGGTAGCGCGCTCGCCTGGCATGCGTGCGGCCCGGGTTCGATCCTCAGCAGCACCACATACCAACAAAGATGTTGTGTCTGCCGAGAACTAAAAAATAAATATTAAAAATTCTCTCTCTCTCTCTCCTCTCTCACTCTCTCTTTAAAAAAAAAAAAAATTAGACTTGTGGACTTTTAAAATCTGCACCCTATTATCTCACTTGATTTCTGAGTAACCCTATCATATGGCCTCTGTGGCTCTTATTACACAGACATCACTTAGGTAGTGATAAATAGGAGTTAACTTATTTTAAATTATACTTAGTAAGGTTGCTTGTATTAAAATCTTGGTAATTATTAATTTATTGCTATGTCCTTGAAGTGACATCTGCTAATCCTCTGATGCTGATCCTTGTTCTATTGCACAGGTCTCTAGCATCAATTCACGCTTTGCCAAAGTACACATCCTATATGTGGGGTCCACACCACTTAAGAACTCCTTTCGAGGAACTATCAGGTAAGAGGTACCCTTGTCTTCACATGCCCCAGTACCTGGAATACGATTGGAATATTTAGGAACAATTACAGTTCCTACTCATTTTTCTTTTCTTTGTGCCAATAGTACCCCCCAAAAGAAATATTCTATGAGGAAAATATTAATAAGGGAGGGTTTTAAATTGTAGCCAAAAAAAAAAAATGTGTGAAGCTAAAGATTAGGAGTATCAGGATGATTCAGACCAAACAAATCAAAAGCATTTTAGGAAGCACCTTTTTTTTTTCTTGAATTTAGTATAGATTAAACCCCAAAGTTTTAAGACTGTGGGTGAAATAATAGGATTGTTCTCCTGTGGATTTTTTGAGAAAGGATGAAAAATTCTTGCAAACCAGATAATTTAACTTGTGAGGATCTTTCCAGCATCAGGATTTAATATGGTCTGGGACAGTTTAAGTTCTCCTGAGACAGCAAAGTTCCCTTACCTTCCTGCTGAATCTGATCTGCTTTTCCCAAGCCAGAGGTATCAGTATTGACCTTCTCTGTGGTCCAAGATTGGGAAAATGTTTTGTCCTCACCATGTGGGCTAAGGCTACCTCTCTACCCCATGTCTGTGGGTGGCAGCAGGGTCCCCACAGACAATTCTTACAATTAATCTTTCTGTCAATTCTTTTTTTATAGAAAGGAAGATGTCCGAGCAACTGAAAAAGACAAGGTTGTTGGTTGGTTTGGGTTTTTTCCCCCCCATGGCTTTAGGGAACTTGATTTTTTTTTTTTAATTATTATTCCAATGAATTTCTAAGTCAGAGGAATGTGAAGTTCATGGAAGTTTAATATATTCTGTGCTATCATGTGTGAAATTTATCTTGCTATCCTTYTCCACTACTTTAAGAGTTTTATTCCTTCAATTGATATCAGCATGTCTAGTTTATTCTTTGCATTTGAAGTTGGTTATTTATTCATTTCTCTTCCCTCAGACTTATTTTGGGCCCTTTCAGAGCCAACTATAGTGCTTTTTGTTTAAGTCAAAGTCCTGGTCATGTTATTGAATTCAAATTCTCCCATTCATATTATGATGCTATAGGAGCAATGAAAGGAATAGATTGACAAGTGATGATGACTTCTACATTCTGGAATTAGAAAGTAAACTAGCTCTACCAGAAGGATGAAATTTCAGGTAAACCTGATCTAGACCTTTCACATAACATTCCTATTCTTTCTTTACAGGTTGAAATTTATAAGAGTTTCCGCCCAGGTGACATTGTTTTGGCCAAAGTGGTATCCTTTATTTCCAGTTGACATGTCTTTTGTCAAAAGAAGAAATGAAGGGCTGGGGATGTGGCTCAAGCGGTAGCGCTCTGGCCTGGCATGCGTGCGGCCCGGGTTAGATCCTCAGCACCACATACAAAACAAAGATGTTGTGTCCGCCGATAACTAAAAAATAAATAATAAAATTAAAAAAAAAAAAAAGAAGAAGAAGAAATGAAAATAGAGGAACAATTCAAGTGACTCTAGGGGAAAGACTTAAAACTCCTCATTTTCCTTCACCAGTATTATGTGACTAGATCTCTTTAGGTGATGCACAGTCCAACTACCTGCTGACCACTGCCGAAAATGAGCTGGGAGTGGTGGTGGCCCACAGTGAATCAGGTGAATTGATCCATGTTTCCATATCCTTACGCTACCCTGGGAGCTGTGGTTTGGGATTAATCCATTGTTTTTCCTGATTTTCCTTGGTTGGTTTGTTTTTGTTTTTGTTTTTGTTTTGTTTTTTGGTACCAGGGGTTAAACCCAAGGGCACTCAGCCACTGAATCACATCCCTAGCCCTATTTTGAATTGTTTTTTTTTTTAGAGACAGGGTCTCACTGAGTGGCCTAGAGCCTCACCATTGCTGAGGCTGGCTTTGAACTCGAGATCCTCCTGTCTCAGCCTCCCAAGCCTCTGGAATTACAGGCATGGGCCACCATACCCAGCATTTTCCTTGTTTTTTCATTATCTTAGAAGCAATATGGGTGTAGATACCATCATGTGATGCAAAATGACAAATTTTCGTCAACAGTGGACAATATATACTATGGTGGTCCCATAGATTATATCACCTAGGGCTGGGGGTACAGCTCAGTTGTAGAGCGATTACTTACAATGTACAAGGCCCTGGGTCTGATCCCCAGGATTTAAAATATATATATGGTGATGTTGTAGCCATTTTAGTAAATATACTCTTAAGGTATTTGCAGTGAGAAACATGTCCCATCCTTAACACTGGACTGTGCTTACTACTGAGATTAAAATGATTCTTCCTAAGTTTCCTAAGTTGGAGTTCCAGTGGCATAATCAATTAGTGCTTAGTGTGCGGTACTTGCAAGAATGATACTCCCAGCCAGGTGTTGTGGTGCATACCTGTAATCTCAGCATCTTGGGAGGCTGAGGCAGGAGGATCTCAAGTTCAGGGCCAGCCTCAGCAACTTAGCAAGGCCCTAAGCAACTTGGTGAAGCCCTGTCTCTAAATAAAATATAAAAAAGGGCTGGGGATGTGGCTCAGTGGTTAAGCATCCTGAGTTCAATCCCCAGTGCCTCATCCGCTGCAAAAAGAAAAAAAAAAGAATGATATGCCTAAATCTAAGCAAATAGGAAATTAAATTTGTAAGTCAGTGGAACAAAGTTTTTTCTTCTGTAAGAGGTATGGTTCCGTAGGTAACCACTGATAACCCACCCCTATCCTAGTGCTGGGTATGAACCCAGGCCCTTGCACATACTAGGAAAGTACTCTGCACATACTTGGCAAGTAAATGCCAAGCCTAACATTTCATTCTCATACTTAACTGAAAAGAGGTATCTCAGGAAAATATCTGGGGTCCCAGCTCTAACACTGTCTTTTTCCCTCTAGGTGTCCAGATGGTTCCCATCAGTTGGTGTGAGATGCAGTGTCCTAAGACCCACACTAAAGAATTCCGGAAAGTGGCTAGAGTTCAGCCTGAATTTTTGCAGACCTAAGATGCTACATATTACCCCATGGAGGGGGTAAGCTATTTCTAAGAGTATGTGATGAAAATAACATCAAGATGCCATGGTCTTTATTCAGATACCTGGGGTCAGCAAGTGACCACCTCTAGAAAAATCTGCCAGTAATTTATATAGGTGGAACATAATTTTTGTGAACCTTTTAGTAAATTGGATTCTTGAGGATAAAGCTTCTCTTTGGGGGATACCAACAAACTGTAACTTTGGAGATAGCCTGATAGGCCTTTTAAGTATATATTTTTTGCTGTGACAAAACATTTTTATTAAAAAGATTTTATGGTTTCTGTTGTCTTGAACAGGTGAAAGTATCTAAACAGTGTCAGTTATTAGATTAGGGGTTTGTTTGCCACATAGCACCCATTAACTGACGTGTCAACTGCTTGCTTGCTCTAGACATAAGCCTGATTGTTGATCTCTTGTATTTTTTGTGTCGTTTTATATGCTTCTGCTTTCTAGGTGCCTAACACTGGATCAAGCACTTTATACACCCCTCAGTTAGGTACATTATAGAATGTATGTAGTGATCAGGTAGCATGTGAGTAGTTTGGTAAACAAACTGATACAGTGGGTATTCCAGAAAATGTTTCTTGCTTAAAAAGAAGGACAGAGCAGTATCATGCAAGGTAGCCAAGGAAGGATTTGTGTGACATGAGATCAAAAGGAATTAAAGAGCTTGGTATATGAAGTTCTCTAGGCAGAGAGAAGCCCCGCAAAGTGTAGAAGCAAAAATGATGGCATTAGTTTGAAGATGAGAGAGATAAGCATGAAGAGGCTGCAGAGGACATTGGAAGGAAAGATGAACATGAGATGGTTCTTCTTGGAGATGTTGTTCAAAAGCCCATGACTCCAATGTGTTCTGACAGTGATGGAGGGTGAGCTTTGGAGACAGCCCACCTAACTTTATGCCCTCTAGTTACTAACCTTCAACAGATTAGGGAGTTTTTTTGGTTTTATTGAAAATTTTGTTGGCGGGGGGGGGGGGGGGGGGGGGTGGGGGCTCAGTGGAAGAGTGTTTGGCTAGCATGTTGGAGGCAACTGGGTTCAATCATCAGCACATTGAAAAAAAATAAATGAATAAAATATTGTGTTCACCTACAACTAAAAAAAATTAAAGAAAATTTTCCTGAGGTAACTGTAGGTCCACATGCAGTTTTCTTGTTTGCTTGGCTGATTTTGTTATTTTGGGCAGTGGTAGGGATGGAGCCCAGGCCTTTGTGTGTGCCAAGTACACACTCAACCACTGATCTACTTCCCYAGCATGTGCAAGGCCCTGGGTTCCAACTCTAGCACCAGAACAAAAAAGAAAGAATAAAATCTCCAGCCCTGCAAAAAATGAATACAGAGATCCTGTGTACACTTGRCCTATTTTCTCCCACTTATATGACATTTTGCAAAATTATAATTGCTCATTGGTAGAGCACTTGTCTAATCTATGAGAGGCCCTGGGTTCCATGTCCAGCACTACCTAAAAAACTAATAAACTCCAGCATGTTGACATTGATATTAAGCAAGTAGTTTTTATCTGTTTTCTCATCTGAGTAGTAGTGTCTCATAGGATTACTATGAGGAAGAAACACATAGAAGTATTCAGTACCTGCTAATAGTATTATTATATATCATTTTTATTATACATATCCAATTGCCTTCTATCAAGTACTAAGTACCAGGCCTTATGTTAAAACACTTTGTAGATTGTTCATTAATAAATACTTTAACTTCAGTGTATTACAGATAGTGCTACAAAGAAAACTTGTAGGAACTGGGGTTGTTGCTCAGTGGTAGTGCTTACCTGGCATGTGTGAGGCCCTGGGTTCAATCCTCAGCACCACAAAAAAAATTTTTTTTTTTGTAAAAAATTCGTTAACTAAAAAAAATTTTTTAAAAAAAAAGAAAACTTGTGTAACATTTATACTTGTGCATGCCCATGCACTACTGATTCCTGGAAGTAGAATGCTGGGTCTAAGAATATGCACAAGCCAGGTGCAGTGGTGTGCACACCTGTAATTCCAGCAGCTCAGGAGGTTGAGGCAGGAGGATCATGAGTTCAGAGCCAGCCTCAGCAAAAAGCAAGGTGCTAAGCAACTCAGTGAGACCCTGTCTCTAAATAAAATACAAAAAAGGGCTTGGGATGTGGCTCGGTTGTTGAGTGCCCCCGAGTTCATCCCTGGCACCAAAAAATATATATATACACACACACATATATATGTATGTGTATATATATATATATATATATATCTGTGTTTGTGTATGTATGTGTGTGTATGTATATGTACACACACACAAAGCTATTCAGGAGGCAGAGGTGGGAGGATCATAAAATTGAGCCTAGCCTGAGCAATTCAATGAAATACAACCTTTCAACCAACCAAAAAAAAAAAAAAAAACACAGAATAAGGTAGTGATTAGATGGCCTTTTTTGGGGGGGGGGGACTAGGGATTGAACCCAAGGTCTTATGCATTCAAGGTAAACACTCTACCAACTGAGCTATAACCTCCCTAGATGGCCATTTTTCTTTACCCAAACAGTGTGGCCTAACCTGGGCTACCATCTAATGTTTTATTTAAAATCAGAATATATTTGTCTTTCCTATCAGTACTAAAGATAACTGCAAATGAACAAAGTTTATTTGCACTCTGAGTAAATTGTACCCCTCTATAATTATTTCCCACATCTCAATTTCTAGCTATAGTATATAGATTTCACAAGAGTAGCAAATATTTTCATGATATAATTTTGTAGGGTGTAGAAGTGGAGGCCAACTGGTGCCAATTTTTGGTTTATGTGTCACATAACAAACATATGTCCAAAGAGCATTTGGATCAACTAGTTAATAGAATTCCCTGATCTAATACAAAACAAGTTAATTTTCTCAGCAGTAAGCATATAATATTATACAAAGCTGTGTGCCTCATAGCAGTATGAGCTCCTTTTAGGACTATTCTGTTTTATCTGAATCCCCAGGACCTAGTACTTTACACATAACAAGTATTCAATAAAAATTTTGCAGGTATTCTCATAGTCAACTGAGCAGCTGTGCCTAGTGTCAGGAAGGGACCATTGAGTGATAACAAGACCAGGTGTTTTTAAGTTCCACAAGGGATTCTGATGTGTTCAAAGTGAGAAGCACTATCTTGTAGCTGTGGGTTTCTTAGTGTTAATGGTAGCTGATAGAGGTGTTCCATTATTTTCTTGTCATAAGGCAGGTTTAGTCATGACTTMTTAGTGTAGGGTCTGGAGACTTCTAGAAACTCACATACTATTAGCATGTAATGATTGTTCTAAAACTCCTAATCATACAAAGCTTTGCTGGATGCTAAGATCCCTCAGAAAAGAAGTGTAACATCACACAGGAAAATATTGCACATCACTCCTTTATTATACTGATCTGGAAAAAAGATTTATTACAGTTATGCTAAATGAGTACTGGGCCTTTGTGGTAGGGCCAAGCAACTGGAACAAGACTCGGAAATCAGACACAGTAAAAGACACRCTTGGACATGATCAAGAGGCATTTCACTGCCACAAAACAAGGCAGAGGAGAGATTCTCTAAGATAYATAGCAAGATACACTCCTGCACCTTATAGGCCAAGGAGCTTATCCCATATTGGTGTGAGGAATGGCTTAGTTTCTGGTGACCACATGTGGGACTAACCACCACTAGAAAAAAACCCAGAAGGGTTTTTTTTTTTTTTAGTATTTATTTATATATATACTTTTTCTTTAGTGAAAGTAAATGTAACAAAAGTTAGRGTTGATCCCAATATTCTGGAGCCAGCTCCTCTGGGGTCAGGGAGTTGTCTTTCTTAAATYACCATGCAGATTACTTTCGTATTCCACTGGAATGACTAGAGCACCCTGCTTCCCATCTTCCCAGTGACCTGAATACAGAAGAGTACAGRACTGGCTCTTTGAAACACAAACAGGCTCTCTGGCTTCTTCTCATTGGTCATGCCTTGCCACAATTCCTCCCTACTTTTCTCAAGGAAAAAAAACCCAACAACTACAACCTCAACTCTTCTGGATATGAGGAGCCTTCCCTGGGCTTAGATTGAGAACCTGTGCCCCAGAGTTTCTATTCTGATTACAGTCTACAAAGGGAGTGGGTGCAGGAGACAAAATGCTAAAATTAAAGTGGGAGCTACTGGTCCCCATCTGCAGCTACAACTTAAGATGCCCACAGATGTGGTCAGTATGGTGATGCAGGAGAGAGGTGCAAAGGAATGGATGGACAGGGTCTTCCTTGGTACAGTAGTCTGCGATCTTGCCTTTATTTCTTTGCCTTGCCCTGTGYAGCCACGGCTTCCATCGYTTTACGAACGGTCTCTTCATCCCCCAGGAACTGCATGGGCTTGATGGGCTTCAAGTTCTTGTCCAATTCGTAGACAATGGGAATACCAGTTGGCAGGTTCAGCTCCATGATGGCCTCTTCAGAGAGACCTGAAAAGAGCCATCCTGATCAGCCACACAAGGTTTACTCTTCATCCCCCAGGTGAGAAAAGACTTTGGTAGGAATTAAGACCCTTTTCTGATCTTTGTAATAGTAATTAGATATTTATAATAGTAGATTGATTCCATAAGGAGTGGCCTCTAGGACTAATTTCTCAAGCCACTAAACTGAAAAGCAAGGAAAAAAGTGTGAGAATGTACACAAGATTCTGGGGTGGGCCACCAACAAACTACAGAAAGGTGCATACTGCAGATATATCCCTACCTAGTGAGATCTAAACCTACAGTGAAGCATGACTATCCACATCCCAAACATCCTATATAGTCCATCCTTCTGTGAAAATTTGGCACTCTGGGCTTCTAGATCCTCAAAAGCTATGGCACTCTGGGCTTCTAGATCCTCAGAAGCTAAACAATGTAAGATGGAGATTTATATGTGAAATTGAGCCAGGCTGAAACTGAAGAATATTTTATCAATAGTTTCCATCCTCATCTAGAGATGGGCATCTCAAACTATCATAAATATTTTTCTGAACCAGGTCTAGAATAGGACCTGAGGTTCTGCATGTATAACAAGTTGTCAGGAGTTCAGCTGCTACTGCTCTGCAAACAAATTTTGAGAAACGGATAAGTGTCTTATACTTACTTATACCACTATAAGTCAACCTAAATTGTCTTAAGGCTATCAGTATGTTGGCCCTTTCCCAAGGGTCTCCTTTATACTAAATTATGTCCCTAATTCGGGAAGTTCTGCTTTATCCATCCCTGAGGGCCCATCTAAAAAATGCACATACCCTCCAGATGCTTGACAATGCCCCTAAGGCTGTTGCCATGGGCTGCAATCAGAACCCGTTTCCCCTCCTTTATCTGGGGGACTATTTCTTCATTCCAGAAGGGCAGAGCTCTGGCAATGGTGTCCTTCAGACTCTCACAGGAAGGCAGCTGATCTTCAGTAAGGTCTGCATACCTACGATCCTATACAACAACAAAACTTGTTTACCAATTATTACCAGTAGCATTCAATAAATGGCTTTCAGAATGTATAATAATTCTGCCATTCCTCATCTCCTAAGGAGTTAAGGGATGGATGAAGTTCTCTCACCAAGGTTCAGCACATAGCTGCCAGCTTAGGAAAAAGGATCATTATCCTGCCACTCCCTCCCCCACTACTCAATACAAAAGAAATATAACTTAAAAAAGTTATGCAATAAGAATTTTCCCAGTTCATTTTAACTTGTGATTGATTTAGGAAGCTTAAGAATGGGTTTTATAAAATAATATGACAGTAGAGGTACAAATATGGAGATAAAAATTCTTCTGAAATAAATACTCAATTCATATTGTAACCAGCAGTCATTCATTGGTAGAGGAAAGACTCCATTAACTATTTTATCATAAATTATAAGCTCAATGGGACCAGGAAGCTACTAATAAAAGTTTAAAAATAATAACAATAACGAGGCCCTGATTCTAACCTCTGGTTCTAGGTGAAGTGATCAAACAGGTTTGCCCATACCTTACTGATATTGCTGTAGAAGGGGTGATCAGGCTCCATTGGAGGTGGTGGGACATCATAGGAGCGCCTCCATATCTTTACCTGGGCCTCGCCATGCTTGGCAGCAGTTTCTGCTTTATTGAGGCCAGTCAGACCCCCATAGTGCCGTTCATTGAGGCGCCAAGTCCTCACCACTGGCAGCCACATCTGGTCAATGGCATCCAACACTGTCCAGAGGGTTCGGATTGCTCTTTTCTGTACTGAGGTGAAGCAGATGTCAAATTCATAGCCAGCATCTGGAAATTAGAAGTTCCAAGTGCTAAGTTAACCAAGTTCACTCTGAACCATAATTTTTTTTAACAAATAAATCTCTTAAACAGGTATCTGAATTAAAATTATTTGGCAAATATTTTGTATACTTCCATAGTAAATGCGATATCATGCCTTTGAAAAAACAAATTTTGTTTGTTTTTTGGTACCAAGGACTAAACTCCGGGGCACTTAACTACAGAGTTACATCCCAAGCCCTATTTTGTATTTTATTTAGAGACAGGTTTTCACTGAGTTTCTTAGGCCCTTGCTGAGTTGCTGAGGATGAACCGTGATCCTCCTGCCTCAGCTTCCAGAGCTACTGGGATCACAGGCATGCGCCAACAAAATTTGTTGACTTATGTATATATCTCCTAGTAGATCCCTAGTAATGCATTTACCCTAAGACCTAATGTACTGGCAAATTAACCTGAGGCATGTGCTTGTATGCTAATTTCCAAAATAGTGTTTAAACACTTGGGGAGAGTGGGGTGTGCTGGGGATTGAACCCAGGGCCTGCAAACAAGCTATATCCTTAGCCCATGTGTAAACACATTTTAAGAATTTATTTCTACCAGGCACAGGGGTGCATAACGTAATCCCAGCTGTTCAGGAGGCTGAGGCAGCAGGATCACAAATTCAAAGCCAGCCTCAGCAACTTAGCAAGGTGCTAAGCAACTTAGTGAGACCCTGTCTCAAAAAAACAGAAAGGACTGGAATGTGGCTCGGTGGTTAAGGACCTCTAGGTTCAATCCCTGGTACCAAGAAAAAAAAGACACCACCCAACTTAGAATCTCTTCCTAAATAGTAACAGCTAACATTTCCAAAGGGCTTACCATTGGTATGGCACTTTGTTTTACTTAGTCTTCATAACAATCCTATGAGGTTACAATCCATTTTACCAGATGAGGGAAATAAAGATATGAAGAGATAAGCAAATTATCCAAGATTACAGCCATTATTTGGACAAATAAAACCTAGGCTGCAGGCTGTCTGTAATCCTAGTGACTTGAGAGGCCTCAAGTTCGAGGCCAACCTCAGCAACTTAGTGAGGCCCGAAACAACTTAATGAGACCTGTCTCAAAATAAAAACTAAAAGGGGCTAGGGTTGTAGGCAGTGGTAGAGTGCTAGCCTAGGATGTGTGAAGCACTGAGTTTGATCCTCAACACCACATAAAAATAAATAAAATAAAGGTATGGTGTCCAACTACAAATAAAAAATAAATATTAAAAAAAAAAAAAAAAACTAAAAGGGCTGGGGATGTAGTGGTAAAGTCCTCTGGGTTCAATCCCTTATTATGCAACCACCACCACCACCCCCTGCAAATAAAAACAACCCTAGGCTGAGGGGATTCTGAACCCAACCCCAACTCTTTTCTGTGCTGGAACTGAACCCAGGGCCTCATGCATGCCAGGCAAGCACTCTACCACTGAGCCACATTCCCAGCCCCCAAACCCAACTCTTAACTACCATCTATCTCTAGCTATCTCCATTTTCCTAACTCCTAAGGATACTGGTGTTTGTATTAGTTTGAAATATCACTTCTGATACTTATTAGACCTCTAGTTTTGGAAAAATAGGATTTTAAAATCCCAAAAATCAGAACACAGCAAATGCTAAATAAAACTTCAGTTTGTTGCATGAAATTGAATCCTCAGGACAAGGCTGACTAGACTTGGCTATTGTCACCTACTTAACCACCTTTTCCTTTTGGGAATCAGGAAAAGTGTGGAAGTCCTTAATCCATCACTCCTTTTTACCATAGTAAAAAGTGCTAACCTATTCTCTAAGTCTTCTCCCAAAATTAGCAGAAACCATTCAATAAAAAAAGTAAATACTATATTCTGTATGAGTCTTTGCAGTACTCGGAATTAAACCCAGAGCCTCATACATACTAGAAAAGTGTTGTATGACTTAGCTATATCCTCAGCCCTTTTTTTTTTTGAGAGAGAGAATTTTTATTATATATAAGTTTTCGGTGGACACAACATCTTTATTTTATTTTTATGTGGTGCTAAGGATCGAACCCAGCAYCGTGCACATGCCAGGCAAGCGCGCTACCACTTGAGCCACATCCCCAGCCCCATCCTCAGCCCTTTTTGAGACRGGATCTCACTAAATTGCCCAGACTGGGCTCCTCTGCCTCAGCCTCCTGAGTAGCTGGGATTACGGTAGTCATATAGTACCAGTGGCACCCATCTATCTGATTCCTTTATAAATTAATCACTAATTCTCCATACATCTTAGTTATTGTATGTCAGGTTGTAATTAAGAGTTATGTTGGCCCAGCCAATAAGTTACAATGAATCAGTCTTGTTTCATCAAATGATTTTCCCACCTGAATGAGGAGACAACTTTTTCCTTTTGGGAATTAGGAAAACATTCTTATTCTCCACTACAAGGTCCTCTTCAAATTTTAGCACAGATGGGCACCATGACACAGGCCTGTAAGCCCAGAGGCTCGGGAGGCACGCGAGTTCAAAGCCAGCCTCAGCAAAAGTGAGGTACTAAGCAATTCAGTGAGACCTGTCTTTAAATAAAATACAAAATAGGGCTGGGGATATATGGCTCAGTGGTTGAGTGCCCCCAGAGTTCAATCCCCTGTACCCCCCAGCCCATAAAAAGAGAGCCAATAGGGAATGGAAAGATGAACCATCAGGAAACCCACCATCACCATCACCAAGAGAAAAGACCTCAGATATCTTCATTGATCCTCAGGACCAGGCTGAGGAGACTTGGCTACTGTCACCTACTTAGCCACCTCCTCCCTAACCTAAAGGGAAAGAATGACTCCCAACAAAGGCTGAGTCACTAGGAAGTGAATAACTATAGTGCAAACCTCAGCTCCCATGATGAAAAGCTACAGGCTGTTTAATTGCAATTATTTCCACTTGCAATGGAGTATCTATCTCACTTTGGATACATGAATAGTCCCTGAGGAGAAAAGTGCTTCCCATTAGGACTCTTTAAAGAGAATGCTAAAGGATCAGAAGCATAAAGCCTTTTCCTTTGGCTTGCCCATTAAATCAGAGTACAACCAGGGATAGGGTGAATGGTGTAGTGTGGACTCCATTCTCCCCAAGGTACCTCTCCCTTTCTCTACCTTAACATGGCATTGGGGAAACAGTTCTCACTAGATTCCYGCTGAAACCAACTCTTAACCACCATCTCTAGCTATCTCCATTTTCCTAACTCCTAATGTACAAATCCTACTATTAACTGAAGCACAAAGGAATTTAATATATGTATTTAAGATATTTTATATTACTAGATTATTCATAATGATCATCAGTTTTTGCTTTTGGTCTTATTCTAAAATGTAATTATTTGTAATGCACACAACACAGTAAAATTTTTTATCTGATTTTTCTGAAATTTAATACTAACAATATTTTAAAACTGAAATGGGGCTGGGCATGATGGCACAACTGCAATTCCAGTCCCAGGGGGACTGAGGCAGGAGGATCAGGAGTTCAAGTCTGGCCTGGACAAACCAGTGAGATCCTGTCTCAAAAAAAAAAATTTAAATAAAATAAAAAATAACAGCTGGGTGTGCTTGAAGCTCAGGAGAGTATCCGTGGGTTCAATGCCCAGTACCATGAAAGAAAGAAGACTGAAATTGGGTTTGTTATTTTACAGATATTACAAGTTTACCATTTGATGGTCTTAGAGGACTTTGTCCTGGGCTAAGCATCAGCAAAACACCACAGAACTACACAGTTCTTCCTGCCAGAGAACCAGAGAACCAAAGAAAATGGCCTCCTTTACTAGTACTTTTCCTTTAGGGCCTCTCCTAGATGCCGAGTTTAAAACAGGCCATCCCAAAGCATTCATATCTGCCCTCCCAACAGGATTACATTTCTCAGACTTTCCAAAGCTTTGCCCCTTTCAAAAGGATGTACAATGGAGGCCAAGAAGCTAGAGAGGGCAACTTGGGGTCAAATATCAGCACCACATCAACCATGCATATAATCCTTTCATATACCTGTTTTGTCCAGAGATTCGAGGGGACCAGGGCAGGATCTGCCTTAGTCATAAGTGAAAACACTTCAATAAAGGGATTCCTTATTAGAATTCCAAAATCACGGAGATGGGTCAAGCCAGAATAGGCAAGCATTTTCTGGGCCACTTCCACTTTTCTAGGCCTTTGTCCTTGGCCAGTAGCCCGCCAGTTCCTCACACCTACCTGTTACTCCACCCAGAAATGGGGCAAGGACCTTGGACTAATAAGCAGATACGACCTTGAACAAATCACCTTTCCAATCCTCACTTTTCCCATCTATAAAAGGGGGACAAGGAGGGATAGGAAGGAAAGGATTTTTATGGAGCTACTTTAGAAACTATCAACTCAAGTCCTTCATCACTCACTCGGTTGCAATTGGATGTGTTTTGGATTCAGTATTTGTGGCAGGTTACTTAACTGCAAAGCAGTCCCCAAGCACGCGGACTTCTCGGTCTTGAAACAGGTTGGGCACCCGTAGCGAGTCTCACTCCGGGTACTGCAGGTAAGAGCCTGCCAGTGGCCTGCCGCTTCGCTACCATCTGCAGCAGTTCCTTAAAAAGGCCAGCCACTGGAAGGCACCAGGCACTTTCCATGAGCCCCACGCCCTGGGAGAACCCTACAATGGCCTACCGATCGCAAGCGGCCCCATCTCCAGTAAAGCCACCCCTGAAGTGTAAATTCTCAGGTTAAAAAGGGAGAAATTGCGTTTAGGCGATGTCCCCAACTGCGCAATGGGCTGCGAAGCAACCAGCCGCGTCCTTCTCCCAGCACGGCCCCTCACACTCCACTGGGTGACCTTGAGCAAGTCGACTCCCCACACTGTGTCCGCTTCCCCAGTTGCAAATTAAAATGCTGGAGAGAGGCTGCGCAAGCTATCGGCCCTGTTCCGGGGCTCGCACTAGGGGTGCCTCCGAGGCCGGGCGCCTGACCCTTTCACATCACCCCCCACGACCAAGCCCGCTCGGTACCTCGCAGAGCCTGCCCGCCGCGCTTCGCCTCCTCGTGGCCCGCCGGGCTCAGGTCGGCGTCGTACCAGCCGCTGAAGCGATTCTCTAGGTTCCAGGCGCTCTCACCGTGCCGAATCAGCACCAGCTTGTAGGCAGCCATGGCGGCGAGGTAAGGATGCGGCGCAGACTAGAGCTTGCAGAGATTCCGGAGTYAGCCCGCCCCCCGGCCGCGCCTGCGCGCTCGCAACCCACGCCCGGTTCCCGCGCGCTTTCTCTACTAAATCTTTCCACTTTCTCTGGAACGCCCTCCGCCCGCCAGGTGTACGCATGCGTTCTATGCCGCAGTTGCAGCCAGTTTAGGGGGGGCGCGCTCCGGAACACAAGAGCGCATGCGCTCTCCATCGCCGGCCCCGCGTCCGCCGCGGCGGTCACGGAGCGCACGTAAGCACGAAGGGCGGCGGGGCCTTAGGCTTGCACGCTGCCTGGTGATAGGGTTGGGCGGTGCTTTTGATGTGGTCCTTCATGAGCCSCTATCCTTTGAACCGCTAGGTAATCCCAAGTTTTTGTTCCATCTGTACACAGTTTGATTCACAACTGCGTTGAGTCTTCATTCATCCATCTTATGTACTTTGAATCACCGACAGGTCGCAAAACTTATCTCAGCCTGGGCTGAAAAGTGGACATGTGGTTCTTACCTGGTACCTGAATCGATTCTGCCTGAAAGTGCTCAGCATACGGTGGTAGTCGCGCCAGGCATGGTGGCACATACCTGTAATCCCAGCTACTTGGGCAAGACCAGTCTGGGAAACTTAAGGAGACTCTCAAAATTGAAATAAAAAAACRGGATGTAGCTCAGTAGTAGAGTGCTTACCTAGCTTGTGGAAAGTTCTGTGTTCAATCCCCAGTACCACGAAAGAAGAAAAAGAAAGTTGTTGCTGTTTCACGTCAGTAGGATACTGGTCTTTTTACTTTACAGATGAGGACCCTGACTCTGCTGATTCCATAACCCTGCTCCAGTCTTTGTCCACAGCTTCTTGTTGATGTTTCCCCCTACAATCATGAAGCAAACGCTAGGCCCCTTCAGACATTCTGAAAATTGGTGGATTCTGGTCACTGCCAGGGCCCATTTTTGCCCCAATTAGTAATTGAAAATATCTGCCTGTTTGGGCCGCCTTCTCCTGCGCACATCCCTTCCTCCTGGTTTATTTCAATCTAGCCACTTTAATGAACACTAAACATGTGCCAAGCAGTGAGAAAGTCGAATTCCTGCCCTTCAACACAGAGGTCAAAGAAGACCCACATCTGAATAGTGAACAAAAGTGTGCTGCTTGCTGTATTTTGACAGGAGAGCTAGAAGAGTTTTTAGCCAGGGAAGGTGGTATACACCTGTAATCCCAGCAACTCTGCAGGCTGAGGTAAGAGGATTGCAGGTTCAAAGCCAGCCTCAGCAACTCAGCAAGGCCCTAAGCATCTCAGCAAGGTCCTAAGCAACTCAGCGAGACTTTCAAAATAAAAAGGACTGGAGCTGTAGCTCAGTGGTAAAGCACCACTGGGTTGAATCCCCAGTACCAAAAAATAAGAGACAAAGGGGGCCCTGAGGATGTGGAGATATAGCTCAGTGATACAGCATCCCTGAGTTCAATCCCTGGTACCAAAAAGAAAAAGGAAAAGAAAAAGATTTTTAGCATGCACTGGTAAAGCACCTACTATATGCCAGGCAGCCTTATTAAGTGCTTTAAACACTAACTCATTCAATCTTCCTATCTTCCTAGGACCCCTGAACAGGCACTCCCCACTTATACAGAGGAGGAAAGTGAGAATAGGGTCATTTGAACAAGGTTACTGGAACCAGGATCCAAGCCTAGGCTAACTGACTCCCAAGTCCATGCTCTCACCTATACACCAACCTCCATTTTTTTTTTTTTGCATTTTAGGTATTTGTTGACCCCAAAGAGTGGAAGAAAAGATTTCAGAGGTAAAGAAAAGGCCCTTTAGGAACTTCAAAAATCAAAACGTGGACTGGGGCTGGGGCTCAATGGTAGAGTGCTTACCTAGCATTTATGAGGCATTGGCTTTTATTCTCAGCATCACATATAAACAAATAAATAAAATAAAAGTCCATCAACAACTAAAAAAAAAAAAATATATATATATATATATATATATATATTTTTTTTTTTTAAATCAAGGGGCTGGGGTTGTGGCTCAGCGGTAGAGCATTCACCTAGCACATGCAAGACCCTGGGTTCGAGCCTCAGAACCATATAAAAATAAATAAATAAATAAAATAAAGGTATTATGTCCATGTACAACTAAAATTTAAAAAATAAATAAATAAATCAAAACGCATATGACAGGTTGTAGATAAATTATTATAATAATTATTATAATACCTACTGTTTGTAGAAGTTTAACATGTTGTGTTTATTATCTCAACCCTCCAACAATTCATATAATGTAGCTACTCATACAATTGTGTTCCACAGATGAGGAAACAGAGAGAAAGACAATGCACACAATCACAGCAGGAAGTGGAGGAGACACCAGGACTCAAACCCAGGCAGTTCAACGGCCTAGTCTGCACACTAACCACAGCACCCCATTGCCTCCCTCTTCTGCAGCTGGGAAAAGATGGAATTCAGTGTCAGAGAGGTGACTGGAAGGAGAGCAGCTCTAAAAGTTGCACCAAGAAACTCATGGGACTTCAGGGCTGCACAGCTGGAACTGCCCTTCCAGCAAGATGCCTGATAGGGGATGAGTAGCCTGCAGGAAAAAGAGCAAGCAAGATAACTAGAATTCTTTGGCAGGAGGCCAAGGGCATCTGTGCCACCAGCCCTGGGAAAAAACTAAGGAATATGCTTTATTTCCTTCACCAATCCCCTCTGCCTCCAGAAGGAATCTCTCATCTCCTTGAAACTATGATGAACTCTGGAAATTCTGTGCCTCACAGAGTATTTACCTTGGATTAAATTATCTCAGAGTTGTGTTTTTTGCTGTTTTGTTTTGTTCTGCAGTACTGAGTATTGAAACTGGGCTACACACATGCTAGGCAATTCAATTACTCCACCACTGAACTACATCCCAGCCCTTATTATTTTGAGACAAGTTGCTTCTAAATTCCCCAGGTTGGCCTGGAACTCAAGATCCTCCTGCCTCTGCCTCCTGAGTACCTGGGATTACAGGTGTACCACCATGTTTGACTACCTCACTCTTTTTCATGAACCTATTCAACTGCAAATTCCTTGAGGATGAGTACCACATATTTACATATTTCATACACCTACACACATGCAGGTAGCAATATGCTTTGCCCTTTGTAGTGTCCCTGAATGTCCCTGAGTGTCAGAGCTGGGTGAGGCCTCAATAGTCCTCCACTGCAAGTGCCCATCTCCTGTCACTCCAGTTCACATTGGAAAGATGAGGAAAGTGAAGGGAACCATTCGAAAGAGCAGGAGATGAGCAAGAGACCAGATTTATCAGTAACAAGTCAGAGACAATCCATGGGGAAGGGCCTCAAGGTTGGGACTTGCTATGTGAGAAGAGAAAGGCAGGTGCACAGAGATCCAGAGAGAGAGAGTAGATGGGAGGCCATGCCTGCCCATAGGACCCTGAAGGCTGTGCAGCCAGAAACAGAATTCCTGGGCAAATATGGGACCCTAGTCAGTGTCTATCACAGCATCTCAAATCTAAGAAGTTTAAAGCTTATCAAACCAAGATTTCTTAAATGTTGGTAAAAGGTAGGAATAAATCAGTGTACGTCACCCTCCACTATTTTTTTGTTTCGTTTTTAATCTTATCTCTTTTGAACACAAGACACAAAGACACGGGTCAGGACTGACTCCTGAGCTGAGGATTCGTAACAGTTTTCCCAACACAAGGGTATGGGTTAGGACAACTCAGAGAAGGATAATCAGAAGTCACAGCCATTACCCTCCACTGTCCCTCCAGAACAGAAAATGCTTCCCTGAGCCTTCCTTCCCCATTTATTTTCCCCACTGAAAAATAACTTCCTTATCAAGTACTGAACATTCAGTGAAGGCCCAGATTTAGAATGAGTGGGGCGAGCCTCGTCTCCAAGGGATGGAAGAGGGGTGGTTGCTGTTCAGCCCTGGGACTCCCTGTGAAGACACCACATGTCTTTACTTGCAGAACCATCTTGCAAACTCATCACCAGATGTTCAGCTCTCTGCGTCTGAGGAGAGGATTTATGAGAGGGAGAGAGGGAGGGAGGGAGGGAGAGAGAGAGAGAGAGAGAGAGAGAGAGAGAGAGAGAGAGAGATAGGAAAAGGAGCTGTCCTTTCTGTCGGGTTGAAATGCCATTGAAGTCGGGTTGAAATGCCATTGAAAAGGAACAGAGTCAGAGGAGAGTTCTGGACACGGTAGTGGCTTTCTCTAGGACGCCCCCGACAACACCCCCTCCCCCAACCTCAAAACCACTCATCTTCAGGCTGGAGTGTTCTGCTCAGCTTTGGTACAAGCCCTTCTCTCTAAATTATGGAGTTTGGTCTCTGAGAAAAGACTACAGGGTTTGCACCATACCATCCGCCATGACCCTGTGTGCAAAGCCAAGAAGATGACCATGCTCAAAGCGTGGCAGTGTACAAACCTTCTTGTTCCTTCTACCCTCATGCACATTCAACTGTTTCCTTACTCTATATTTTCTTAGATTAAATTCTGAGTACAAAACAAGTACTTTGTTATTTGCGCTAAATGTGTCTGGAGTTTAGTGACTGGCTAGCAGTTGGTAGTGTGTTAGTCCATGATCTCTGAGAAGCAGTTGCCAAGATAGGACTTGGAGGAAGGGTGTCAGGAGAATTGCCTGTGACAGGAAATGGGGAGGGGGAACGCAGTGGCACTCTGAGTGAAAGAAGGTTAGGTGGGCGGAAGCATCTTAGACTGCAAGTGTTTTCTGAGGAAAATTCAGCAGTCTATTTGGGAGTCCTTTTTTTTTTTTTTAAACCAGAAATGTAGAGTTTTTGGTTTTTGTTTTTTAGAGAGAGAGAGAGAGAGAGAGAGAGAGAGAGAGAGAGGGAGAATTTTTAATATTTATTTTTTAGTTTTCGGCAGACACAACATCTTTGTTTTTTTTTTTTTGTATGTGGTGCTGAGGATCGAACCCGGGCCGCACGCATGCCAGGCGAGCGCCCTACCGCTTGAGCCACATCCCCAGCCCCTGTTGGGGAGTCCTTGAGTCAAAGTCACCCTGTCTCCTTGGACGGGGACTGCCTGGGTATCCTGTTGTGGGGATGTTAAGTCATGGGTGAAGGCAGCCCATGGGCAGTGCAGTCTCTGGGGGGATTTCAGAGTGAAGYAGGTGGGGCCCTGGTCAACC